ATGCGCATGATTCCGAATCATGCGCATTAATGCGCACGATTGAGGAATCATGCGCACGCATGAAACCCATCTCTAGTCAGACGGTTCTCCAGGGTAGGCCGTTCGTGCAACGATTCGTGAAGGCCATAAGCGGACCTAGGAAATCAAAGTTTTGAATCAAAATATCGAAGGCAATGAAGGCAGACTTGCAGTGGTGGCTAAGAATCCTTCCCAAATGGTCGGGAGTATATTTATTAGAAGATAGAATTTGGCTACAACCCGGCACAAAGAATTTATTTACAGATGCATCCAACCTCGGAGGCGGCGCAACATACGAGCTGTACTTTACGGCGTTTAATTGGAACACGGTACTGAAATTGGCAGCTAACTCGATTCAGATGCGTGAGCTTCTTTCCAGCCTAATTGCAATACTCACCTTCGCACCATTATGGAACCAGAAGCGATTGATAATGTGGACGGATAACCAAGCTAACGCAGAGGCTTTTTACACAGGCTTTTGTAAAAACGAAGCAATAAACGAGATAATTAGTGAAATGTATATGGCACAGATACAAGGGAATTTCTCTATAAAATTAGAGCACATTCCCGGAAAATGCAATACTATGGCTGACCTATTGTCTCGCAATGGTCACAAAGAATATATTGCTCGAAATCCAGTCACACGATATCTACAACCTGTGATACCAGCTAAATATACTAACTTTATATTACCTATTCCATCCCTAATCCAATAATAGCACACGGAAAAAGAATCCTAACCTCAGATCCAGTAGTGTGCCTTTATAAATCACCGTTAAATAAGCAAGTAGCATTAATCCTCGGAGTCCAAGAACCGGGGTACAAGACATATAATCAGATAATAAAGCGTTATCAGAATTTGGCAAATGAGAACAATGAGTAAACTCAGACGGTACTATATGGCCGATATCTAAGGGAAATCTTACTAAAATCATTAAATACCTATACACCAAAGTTGAACCTCAAACTATTACATCATACCTGTCCGCACTGCGGCACTATCACACAATGAATCACATAGATTGGTACAATACTTGCCATGACCCATTAATCAGGCAACTGTTGAAAACTATAGAACACAATCACACATTCAAACCAACCCAGCAGAAGGAACATATAACCAGAGACCAATTACTGAAGATGAAAGCAAGTCTAAATTTAAGCAAAGGGGAGGACTTATTATTCATAGTAGTAGCGTTTGTGGCATTTTACGGGCTAGCCCGGTTGGAGAGCTTTTGCCCAAATCTCAGCAGGAAGCGTGTAATGTTCCATCAGTGTAAGCATTAAAATTCGGCAGCACCAGAGGAGGATCCTACGCAACAATACAGTTACCAAGAACGAAGGTTCATAAAACAACCGAGCACCCAATGTTAATTATAAACGAAACTAAAGACGAAACATGCCCAATTCGCGTACTTAAGGCATACGCTATTCACAGGACTGACCCAAAATACGCTATAGGAGAGAAAATGTTGTTTATAAAGGCTGACGGCAGCCTAGCGACAAAGCGTTGGTTCATAAAGAAACTTAAGTCACTCCTTCCCGGGGAAAACATAGCGGGTCATAGCTTTCGGGCTGGTGGCACTACTAAGTTGGTAGTACGGGGTGTTGAGTTAGTTCTTATCCAAAAAATCGGTAGGTGGTCTTCGGATGCATTTCATAGATACATCCGGGTACACCCAGCTACGGTGGCTACTATATTAAACAAAGCATATTACAACTAAACGATCACGGACATTAGGTCCTTCCTGTATTTGGATCGATCGTCGTCGTCGGAATATGCGAAAAAAAAAAAATTAAATTAAAGAAAGGGGGTTTATGGCTAGTTTTGCTATCATTTATTTCTTATCTACGTAGACAGTCATACAATAGCGATATTGGTAACATCATGTATAAGTAGAGAATAATAAAGGTAAAGGTAAAGCGAAGGATGCGGGTTTCTAAAGAATAATAATAAGGAAAAAAAAAAAAAAAAAAGAGAGTTCGATCGAAACAACGACATGGCCAGAGATAATGATACAAAATGGCAAAATTCAGATTTCATTTTGGAAGGCCACTGAATCCTGCCATTTTCCATCCATCCATGTCTACAGCCGGCCTGCGTTGCGCAGGTGGGAAACCACCGGCTGAACTTAAGCATCAATTTCAAGCAGCAACAGCTTGACTGCATTAACTCAGGGTCGACAGCTGGCCCGCGTATGCGGGTGGGAAACCACCGGCTGACCCTACAAATATCTATATATCAATTATACATCGAATGCACTGATGTATCCTATATATTTGCGCTGAAACGCACCAATAAAGTTCAATATCCGGCATTATATGCTGGTGTGCTTCCAAAGAGAAACTAATTAATTCATTAATTATACATGTGTCACGAGCATGCGATCCTGTTCGTTATTTGTATTACAAATCTGTTCACATAATGAGCTAAGCCATAAAGAAACACACCAGACCGGACCGAACATTTGCAAACTTCGGACCTCATAGGACTGTAAATCAATTGCCCGGTAACTTTATATCTTTCACATAGCATGTCTATATTCACTATGGAAAAATAATCAGTATCGCGAACTTTACTTAGAAGGCAAAATATGCCTACTGTTTATTGGGCCATATCAAATTATACTGTAAAGTGAAGGTACCGGAAATGTTTTCGCCTAAAACTATTTTATTGTGTTAGATTTAAATAAGCTTTTATTTCTAACTGTTTATTTTGAATAGGTACAGGCTCTTTAACAAGAAGATCCGGGCTTAATATTTAAATTTGGTCGGTTCTTGTGGTGGGATGTTGCACTTAAGGTGATTCGTGAACCGAACAAAATGTGCAAGAATTTGTTCAGAAATTGAAAAATTACTGTGAAATTGGTTACAAGTATCCTTCGTTCTTGGGATGTAAGGGAATATCAAGAAATGATTATGGTGACTATATTATTGTTATGGATTATGTAACAGAACAGCAAAATCTTGTACAAACATCACAACTGGAATGGAAATATAAATTGGGTATCTGCTTTGGATCTTGAGTCAATTCATTATAAGGAACTTGTTCACAGATATTCACACAGCAGAAATATATTGCAAGGTAGCTTGCATGATGCGTATATTGCTGATCTTGGACTTTCAAAATAAGTAAAGGATGGAAAAATTTGTGGAATTCTACCGTATATAGCGCCTGAAGTTTTTATGGGTAAACCGTATACTCGAGCACTAGATGTTTACGGCCTTGGAATTATCGTGACAGATATTTCAGCCGGACAAAGAGCATTTGATAGAATTCCGTTTACATAAATTCAGCAAAAACTGACCACAGAATATCTGCCGGTTCGATAAGTTTTTGATTCGCAGTGATAAACTTCTGATTCGGGTGTGATTACATTAATAGGGTAGGTTCAAAGTGTTTAAAAGAAATTACTCTGACACTAATTTCGCATATTGTAATATTTATATTTAGTAGTAGTCAGGTTTCTGATTTCGAATTAAATTAGTGATGTATTTATTTTGATTTGTAAGATTAAATTACATCTTTTTGTTTCTTTTTTTATTAGTTGTACAGATGATTCGCCTCTATCTTTACTACGACTTGCAATGAATACATAAGCATTTTTACTGGCTAATTCACTTGCTAATATGATTCCTATACCAGTATTTCCACCTATCACTGTTGCAACCTGAATTATGAGAAATTAACCATGTAAATACTATACAGAAACTTTGAATCCCTTAATACGCAGTAACTGCATAGTAACTAGTTACGATTAAATTTAATATTAATTTACTGCATATTAAGATATTTAAGTTTCTATAAAGTAATTAATACTTTTATAATATTGTTAATAGTAATTTAGAAATATTAATAGAAGAATATTCTAATAATACTTATTAAAATACAATTAGTATTAAGTATTACTAATGCCAAAGTGGAATTTCACTAGAACTCTACTGTGGCCCTATCATTGATAAATTACCTACTGCAACGGAATTATTAAAATAAACACATATTGGTTAGATGAAATGGATAAGAAAGACAATAATGAAATCAAAAAACAAATTTTGGAGGCTAATAAGATTAAACCAAAATTGATCAAGCAAATACATTTACAAGACTTATATACTAGCAAGATATATGATACGAAAATTTTTTTTAAATATACTTGGGTTAAACCACTAACCAAAAAATACATATAAATATATTTGGACTCAAACTAGTTTGCAGACTTCGGATTAGACCCGAACAAACTCAGATTTGATTTAAAAGTCTGAATATAAAAGTCTGAGTCCAGTTCGAAAATCAGACCAAACTCAGACTTGACTAAAGTCTGGTTTGGGTCCAGTCCGTAGGAGAACTATCTGCAGGATTATCCAAATTTCTGAGTGAATAAATATTCAGATACAGATAAATGGAATTAATGTTTTTAAAAAATGAATTGATCTTTGTCTTATCACTAGGATTTTTCTATGTTCTAACTTTATATATTCAAAGACTTACATAATTTTGTTTAATAAATAATTAGTAAATATTTAATAATAGAATAGTCTAAAAATTAAATATTTATTTGCTGCACATTTTATCCATTTTGAATGTTTTTGTTTGTAATATCATGGAATCAGATCCCGACAAGAATCGATTCCACGAATCGACTATATCAGTATCTTTGCCGTTATATATTTGCCAAATTTTCAATTTTTTTTGTAACTTTGCTAGTTAAAAATTCCTAGTGAGAAAAATAAGTATGTAATTTTTATTTATTATTTATTATTCATTACTTACTAATGTAATCAATCCTTTAAAACAGGGCTGTGATTAAGTTTGAATGATTGGTGATTCTGAAACCGGCAAAACTAGTTTGATGTGTAAATTCACTGAAAGTGAATTTGATTTATATTATTGCCAAACCAATAGTAATGACTCAAGTTTTTTTATTCATTTTAAATAACTTTAAAATTAACTTACAATTAATATTTCTGAATGCCTTCACTTTAATAAAAAAACAATTAGTTTGCAAAATATGAAAATTAGATTCAGTATATGGGATGGTATAAATTTATAAGAATCGAGATTTGACCAAGATTATAATCTTGACTATTACTTTTTCATGTACAAAAAAGGTCACTCTGATTTTATTTCTTATGTTTGTAATGATTCTGTTGCTATTCTTTTTATGTTTAATCTATCAC